ACGTGACAATTTGGTGCCAGAAGTGGTTATGTGTCGCGATGTTATTCTATCTTCCGTCTACACGTTTCATGGTTTAATCTAATATTCCAGCTACATGTCTTAACCTGATGTTCAGACTATCTGTGTCGCAATTCAACCTGAAATTCCGGATATGTGAGATTTTACACACTTTATTATTGCAATATGTGTCCCGATTCAATCTAATGTTTGACTGAATGCATATCCATTCAATCTAAAACTCTAACTGCATGCATTGCAATTCAATCCAATATTCCGACTACATGCGCCATGACTTAATTTTTTGTTCTGGTTGCATGTTTCGTGACTAAACTTTATATTCGAGCTATGCGTCGCAAGTTTATGTAACATTTCGGTTACACGTGTCGGGGTTTAATATATTCTTGCAGCAACTTTTATCATGACGTAATGTAATATTCCGGGGTACGTACGAGTACGGTACGTTGCACAAAACACAACGGAATGAAATACACAAAAAAACAACCACTAAAACACAGTGCGCAAGGAGAAAAAATGTACACTAGAATTCGGGATTAAATTATGAAATTAAAAAAAAAATTACGCCAGTGTATAAAGTGCAGCATTTTCAACAAAACAATTGTAAGGAACCTGATGATGGTCGTGTAGACCAAAATACGTTGTGAAAAAATAAAGTGAGAGAATTGTTTAATAATTAAAAATTAAAAATGAAATTTCGAATTTCAAGTCTTGCACGTAAGACGGGAGGGAACACGTGGAAACAAGGCAGTGCAACAGGATTTTGAAACACGCATCTGAAAATATTCTAGCTACGTGTCTCTTCTATGTCTTCACTAGCCGTTGAATGGTAACGGATTGCAAAAATACCCTCTTCTGCTCACGCCTTTAATGTCCGGCGTCTACCCCAAAACTAACTTAATTCTAGTCGGTCGGTCGGTCAAATTGCTGCCTGCCTTCACCAGCACAGTTATCCCTGGCTTCAGTCTCTTTGAGATCTATGACGAGGAATTTCATTCTCTCCTAGACATGCTCGTGTTTACAAGAGTCTCATAAGAGGGGCCAGTCTCTCTATGTAGGCGCTGCGTTTGCACCGTAGATTCAGCACGACTATATCCGCATTGTCAGGGCGTCCAGGTCACTATGGACTCTGTGCATCCTTTGTCACTGCACTATAAAATGTAAGATTTATGCAAGGTATACAGAGGTTTCCTGTGAACGCAGGTTGGCGCAGCATGTCATGCCTCTCTCATCTGCAACTCATTATGAAGCATCGAGTCGGACACAATAGAGAACACCGTGTCCAAAAATTCCTCTATTGTTGTTCTTATCCGTTGCGGAGAAAACAATTTTATCGAGTCATAAGCACCCAACGGATATTGCAAACACATCACAATACACGCAGCACCATCTAAAGTCTGTTGGCTGACAAGAACTGAGTTGTGGAACAAGGTTCTGAAACACCCTATTCCTGAAATCAGTACTATTTTATGAGTCCGATTTCTGAATGAGTAGACCTTAAAACTGAAGTGGAAAGAAATATTTGAAGAAAAATATGAAAGAAAGGAGGAAATATTTTGACATATTTCTGGATTTTCCTTATTAAGTATCAGAATTCAAAAACCGCGACTTTGGTCAACTGCTTATTTAGTTCAAACATAATAAACAGCGCCTGGTGAAATGTCTCACATGTAAGGGTAATGTAGCTTTAATTCCACATATAATTTATAGTCCTAGGAATCATTAATCAAGATATCGCAGTATAGCGACTGACTACCAGCTGGACAACGGAGGGGTCAGAATTAAAGGTCAAGGTATAGTCTAGTATTTTCTCTTTTCTAAGTCGTCCAGACCTGATTTGGTGTCCACCTTGATACCTTTCCAATGGGTGATGGGCGATTTTCTCCAGGGGTAAAGCGGTCTGGGCGTGAAGCTGATCAATCGCCTCCAACTCATGCCTAGGTCAAGAATTTGTGTATCGCTTAATTATTTAAGCCTAGGGGCAACTTTACTTTTTATTGTAAAGTTGTAGAAGCACAAAATTTGCTTTGCGTTTCACACTCCTTGGTAAAAGTGTTCAAGGGATAGAATGACAGCAAAAGGGAGGCTGCAAATGCAGAGCCCAAGGCGTTCACCAAGTCTCTATCGATTTCATGTCCGCTGACATTCTGCAAAAAGAGTTAGTCAAGGTTTCCGACTTCCCACCATCTGCGAGAGCAATTCAAAGGGGCAGAGGTCATCACGCTTTCAAATAAGGGCCAAACAACAGAAAATACGGAAGCGAATACAAGAGGGCTAATAAATTTGAAATCACAGATTGAGAATCAGAATGAATTAATGGTAGTATGTATGATACTTATGACAACCTCTGTGGTCTAGTGGTCAGAGTTCCTGGCTACAGATCTAGAGGTTCGGGTTCGATTCCCGGAGCTACCAGGTTTTCTGAGAAGAAGTGCGTCTGGAACAGGGTCCACTCAGCCTCGTGAGGATAACTGACGAGCTATTTCAAGGAAATAGCGGTTCCGTTCAAAAAAACCGAAATTAACGGCCGTGGAGATTCGTTGCGCTGACCATGTGACACCATCTATCCTCTAAATTTGGCACTAACTTCGCCGACAAGCGGCGGTCGCTCGGTCGGTATAGTTCGCTTGCGGACTCAAGCCAAGAGGAGAGTATTTTAACCTATAAAGAAAAATTGAGAAACAGACTTGAAAATTTTGCGTTGTGAGGAGTTTCAAAATTTCCAAAATTCATCGTTTTCTTTTATGACAGTAAAATAAAGGAGCGTGAGAGAGACGAGGAATGGGAAATTTGAAAGTTATATGCAGAATATTGTTAGAAGAGACCAAGAGGAATAGCCCACTCGGTAGACCCAGGCATTGATGAAGTGTGGACTCAATTAATTTCCTGTAGGATGGGCAGATCAGCGGGCTTTTGTGTAAGCGGTACTGGATTTTCTTGTTCCGTTAAGGTCAGGGAATTTATTGAGCACATAACCGACTGTTCGCTTTATAAGGAGCTACTTTTGCAGTTTCAATTTACTGAATTACTATGTTATATCTGACCGCATAATACCAGAGGTTAGCTAATTAACATTTTAAAACTTCCAAAGTTAAACAATTGTGTGTACTGAGGAAGAACAAAGAAAAATAGGATGTCAGATTAAAGTCAATGAACCCTAACTTCGATGTTGCAGAACTTCATGTCTGCAAATATTACGCAACTGCTCCTGTATCTATGTTATATGGTATGTCAGTATACACTACAATTAGAATTTTGTTTAAATTAGGGCGGCTATTTTCGTCCAAATATATAACTATCAACTCTTCAAGCAACTGTTTAATTAAATATCTATCTATCTATCTATCTATAGCTATATAGCCCTTTGTTGGACCTTGGCCGCTTTTTCAGATTCTTGATCTTTACACAGACGATAGGTCTCCTTGGATGGGTGATCAGCACGTCGCAAGGCCACTACCTACACAGGACAACATAAACACAGAATAAACGCATACAGACATCCATGCCTCGTGTCCGAATCGAACCCACGATTCTAGTGTTTGAGCGGGCGAAGACAGTTCATGCCTTAGACCGCGCAGCCACTGTGGTCGGCGTAAGCTACTACTAATGAAAAGAAAGACCTTCTGAAAAGAATGGCCAAACAGAAAAAAACAATATCTTCTGGGTTGTGACGCCATATGATTCAGTAGAATCTTATCGACTTTTTGGAGCAACGTATTTCTTCAGGACCAACAGTAAAATAAATGAGCAACCGACAGAAACAAGAAACAGAGGAAAAAACCATGACGCATTTCAGGCATACTGGACATCATGGGGCGTTATCACTTACAAACAAAAACACTTCTCAATACACTACTGTATCACTTCCTTCTACTCTCACACATATTATTTGTATTAATAATTATTAATACAATAATTTATTATAATTATTATTATTATTATTATATAATTAATATTATAATTATAATTTATTGTCACGTGTACGGGTAACTACAGGCGGGATTTTGATTGAAGCCTCAATTTACTGACCACTTACAGTCCCTAACTACAAATATAACACTATCGCTAAATTACACGCTTTAAAAATCACCAGAACACAAGCTAAGGCTTCGCAGTCTGCTTTCATTTATCGTTTCCCTATGGCTTAGGCCGCTGCTTAGTAACGGTTGTTGTATAGTCACTTACTTCGCGGTTGTTGCCTAGCAACGGATCTACATGCCACAGTATTATTCAAAAGACCAAATCGAAGTCGTTAATAGATTACGAGACAGCACAGCTTTCAGGAAACTTGAGAAACTACTAAAGATGACGAAACTACATGAGCAAACGCGCGAGAAGGAAAACCCGTGGACGTCGTGAGAGAGAAATATGCAAGACACAGTTTCCTTGGAGATAACGTGCTTGACTGGTGTGCAGTTCATATGCAAATTGATAACCTCTAAACACATTGCACAATATAATATCCGAGTTGCAGTTATCTTTGCTAATTCAAAAGTTATTTGAACCGTGACACTAATACTCGTAAACTACCATTATGTGTGTCTATAATGAGTAATAGCAATTTCAATATGAAAAGGATGACTAACTTATTAAAAATGATTACTTGTGCCAACACGAAGTACCGTATGCATTACGCAACGTACATACTTAGAGTATAATTACGAAACTGGCCTTCACGAGAGCTAACAGAACCTTGAAACTTGAAGATTGAGTGAGGTTATGAGTGTCAACATTAAAATATATTCTTTCTTTGCTATAACTTCACAAACATGGCAAGCAAAATCGGGAATGCCGCTATGAGTGCCACATGATGTAGCAACAAAAAGTGAGGAGGTGCTAACATGATTACACTGTACACTCACGCTAAACGTGTATCGCATTCCTGAATAACCTTGCTTATGTGGGACTTGAGGTGAATATCCATATAAAAATTAATGGAAAAACAATGACTTTCGCTCCTTACGTCACCACTAACACAAAAAAGCCACATTTTCAACTTTTTTATTGCTGCCACTTCTGACTAACGCCCATTGGAATTTCCCAGTGTGTTCCGTAACCAGTCCCTTGATTTCATGCAACCAGTTTCTCTCTATAACTACGAGCATGCGCATCAACAAGGCTAACGATACAGACACTAATCGAGTCGCATTGCCATGATTTTCAAAGTCTTGGGTACACTGATAGGATAAACTTCTTTTCCATCTTCCGTCTTGAAGATGCTGTAAGGAAGTTGTGCTAAAAGTTGCATGCCTGCTTTCTCTGCAGACTTCTGTCCTTGGACAGTGGAAAAGAAGGTCATAGTGACCTTCAATCCCAACGCCTTGCCGAGACTCCTCCTCGTTCTTAGAATCTCCACTCCTAGGCCTTGGCCCCTGTAATGTGGGTGAACGACAAGTCCGAAGGCTCCGAGAAACTCCGTCACTCCGTACAGCTTGAATATGTTCACATAGTTGCACACGAACACCATCCCATCTCGTGCCATTGCCTTCATCGCGGTGCCTCTGAACTGCAACATGGGGAGAGAGCCTTCAGAGTTCTGGGGTTTCCACAGTTAGCATTCTGACTCACTCCCATAGGCGGAAACGGACGTTTCTGAATATCCTGATACTTCCATTTCTGACCTGAATTGAGTGGAATAAGGTGTCAGGTTGCGTACATAAAGGTATGCGAGGTAGGCTGTCGTTGAAAGCCTCTGGGGAAATGAAGGCTTCGTCGGCCTATCCATCCTCACCTTCCTTTTTGAAACTTCCCGACTCATCACGCCCATCCTTCAAACTTAACAATGGACGCAGCAGGCTCCTTCAAAACGTCGGTCTCCGCTTACAAGACTTACCCAGAAGGCCACAATCTTAAACGTTTAGGGCATTTAATTCGGAATAGTGACTGCAGAATTTCAGAACAAGTTTTTCATAAAGAAAATTTAAGCAAAAAACGGGAGGTAACGGAAGGGAAAGATATAGAGAATTGAATAATGAGAAGCTCCGTAATATTTATATTCCATAGAGTGTTATTAGAGGAAAGAGAATACCTGAGAAACCTAGGTATAGATGGAAGAATATTAAAATTGATCATGAAGAAAGAGTAAGAAAGGACATGGACTGGATAAATGTGGCTTAAAACCGGGTGTAGTGGGGAGGGGCTTACACAGTCGCGATAACAGACTTGTCTTCTCAAATTTTTTGAATTTCTTTACTTTCTAAACAACGATTGACTTCTCAAGAATAATTTTTATTTATTTAGTTAGTTAGTTCTCCCAATTTAAATGATGGGACTGAGGAAAGCAACGCAGAATCCGAGTCAGTAAAGTTGGACCCTGAACATGGATCCTTCCTTGCTGAACCTTTCGAGACAGAGTGGTCACAATATAAAATTAAAATGCATTATTGCATACTCATTGTACCTTACTACACTTCAATAAAACTTACTGCACCTTGTTATAACCTCATTAAGCTTCTTTTGATTGCGACTTCGTGACGTGTCTTGGAAGGGTGTGAACTTCACATTTTCGTGGGAAGACGCGGGTACATACCGGAAAGAAGCTACGGCACAGCGTGTAGCAGGTAATGTTGCATATTTTATGCGAGATATAACCGGTTCTAATCTCAGCTGGATTAACGATCATTCTGCTTAAATGTATGCACTGTTTTCTGCTGCCTTCCTAGAAGAAAATAGAGAGAGAAGCATCCAACGTCTTCCCAGTACGTACTCTCAACGCATTACTAAATTTCCATATAACGGAAACAGAGTTGTGAACTTGTCTAGGGGTCCATGAAAGGGAAGGACGTTTCTACGAAGCACTGAGGCATCATTTCGGAAAGATGGGAAAAATATCTCATGCCGGACACTGTCAATTGCGTAGGGTGCATGAAAGGTTTCGGAAGCTGAATCTATTGCCATCATCATGTGTAAGGACGAGAGAAAATATCCTACTGACCTAGACATTTTGTAAGATTCTAATATCCGTCACTTGATTGGCACATTCTTCCAGCGAATTCCCATGATCATGGAAACGGAATCACTTCCCGAAACGTCAATTTGAAATATATCACAAACAATGGAGGATAGCCAGCATAATTTCTTAATAACGAAAATNGCAACGGATTTTAACACAGGAACTACAGGATGAATCGTATAGAACCGGCCCGATGAATTTGCTAATAATTCCGCAGGTGATGCATATAACCGTTCACAATTACGACATAATAATCCGTGGGCCGTGCTGAGTCCAATGGTGTGCGCATGATCCGGCAAGTGGCAGCCCTTATGCTGCAAGGTCAAGGGCAATGCCGAAATGTGTCTGCAGTGCCCAGGCGACAGTCATGGAGTTCACTGTTGAACAGCGAGTGTTTCTAGTGCCTACTTGAAAACGGCGGACACTTTCAACACCTGCTCTAATCACGGCACACAATCCAAGATAAGATATGTGTAAATTACTTTAATAGCTATATGGTTTATTTTATATTATAGCTCATTTCGTCGGACCGGTTCTATAAGAATCACTCTGTATTATATATAATGTCCGGGAAAAAAGTACACACGTTTTAAATCTTTTTGTCGAGAAAATCATCAGAGCTAGGAAGGTACAATCTTCACTGCATGAAACAGCTACTCAGAAAGGTTTTCCTCCATCTTTTCCATTTCGGTGCACTTTGACCTGAGGTCTCTTTGTTGCTTGCGCACTGTTTGTGCACTATTCAAATGACCTGGAACTGACGCATGCGCACATACATAGGTACAGTCACGTGTGCTCGATTATACAAATATTGTACGTAAAACAGTTTCGCTTTGAAGTGGCGAAAACCGTACTCATCCTGGTCTGTCAATTTTGTCAATAAAAGTGTTTAAATTGTATGCACTCATTCTCGGATACTCTATTTTATATGATCATATGATTAGTTGTGGCAGGGCATTATAGATAAACCACAGTATGGAAATGGCAAATGTAGTAAAGTTTTTGATAAGCCTGAAGAAGACAGTGAAAACAACCTCAGATATGAAGAAAGCAGTCTTCTGGAACTTGGCACCGTGTATATGTGGTGTTAACCGACGTTCCTCCTAAACGTCGGTTAACACCACATATACACGGTCAAATCCCAGAAGACTGCTTTCTTCATAGTCACCGCCGTGAAAGCCTCAAATCTTACAACCTCAGATATATAGGAAACTTTTAAGATTTCGAAACGATTTTATGTACAGAACACTTTACTCTGGACACCGACCTCTGTAAAAGCCCCCCCGTCTCTGTTGCTTTACTTACATCATCAGGTGAATATTTGTCCTGTATGCGACAGACATAGGTCATGTTTACACCAACGACTCGAGGACGAGCTGATCCGTCATCTGTGAGCGCTACCAAAGCGGCCTTTTGTCTTGACATATCTCTCCACAGATTTTTAAGTTCCTCCATAGAAATAGGGTCATCGATGATTTTCAACGCACTGAACATGACTTCATCCTTACAGAAACACGTAGACATTAGTTCTATGGCTTCCTCCAGATATTCCTCATCCAAATCTTGTATAATAAATTTTGGCTTTTTCCCATCTGACATCTGCAAGAGACCCTCGCATCTTCTCCAGACTGTCGGGACCTGAAGAGAATCCGGTCGTTTCCAGGTGCTCTTCTCTTCCGCCATGCTTCCCTGTCCACTGACGTTTGTTAACTGGCAGACAGCAACGTGCTTCGTGACCGTTCGTGACTTCCAGCAACACAAATTGCTGAAGCACGCAAGCATAGCGTAACCTGTTTCGTAATGAATAGTTCAAGGATTTGCAACCTCCCGGGCTTGTGTTCCGATATGTGGCAATGTTTCCTAGAATAATTATCTTGTTTATTCACTTGCACTGTCAGAAATTCAGACTTCTGAAGGTCGAATGATTTTATGACAAGTTAAGGAAGAATTGGAAAGGATACTGTCATGATATAGGGGTGTGACTCTAGACGGGGAATGAATTGGATATTGGATTTATTGACACAACTCCGAACTATAAGCAGTTACAGTACCACCGCTGATCTCCACACAGCTGTTGTCTTCCTGTGTGTTTCGAGATCTCTGCATAGCAACGGGTCTACACGTCATACTACTAACTCCTTGGAGTATAATAGTTGTTGAGAATGCAGCGGGTGCTAGGCAGAACGAAGCATTTTCCAGGATTCCCGTTGGTGTGATGTACAATGCATTTATTAACTTTTCATCTGTGTATCAACACAAATAAGTACTAAAGGCCCTGCATTTCTTACAAAATTTGTGCATGTCAGTTTTTTATGAACTGTAATTTTGGCGTGCAAATCCTACAAACAGAGGAATGCATATAGGACATTGGTGGGAAAGCCAGAAGGAAAGAGACCAATGGGAAAACCAAGGCGTAGGTTGGCGGACAATATTAAAATGGATCTTTGAGCGATAGGATGGGATGTTATGGATTGAATTGATCTGGCTCAGGATAGGGACAAGTGAAGGGCTCTTGTGAACATGGCAATGGACCTTCGGGTTCCAAAATATGCTGGGAAATTTTTGGCGGCTCCTCAAGAAGGGCTCAGCTCCATGATTAAGGAAGTAAGTATTTAATTCTATAAACAGTTAATTCGAATGTGAGAAACAATTTACGCCTGAAATATTCGCCCTATACGAGCGGTTTAATTTCACGAATGCAATATATCGCCGCTCTGTAATTTGCTATAATTTAAATTTTGAGTCATTCTGAGCATTTACCCTCAGGACCATTCCTGGTGCTCACTTCTGTTAGAGTTTGAGTCGACCCCAGGGCCGTAGTGTGGTTGGAAGCATTAGGTCAATTGAAAAATCCAATGACATGGGGAAACAAACCCGCGACCTTCCGGCTTGTAGCATAGTGTCTCAACCAATTACGCTACCGTGTACTCCCCGTTGAATACTTAGTCTTGAGATTTTAAAATTCATATCGAAAAACTAAGATCTTGTTTTTGGCTTGACTCTTAAATAACACTGAAATTCATTTCTGCAATTTTTACCCTAATGTTTGTACTAACCAATCATTCTGTACAGAGAAACCCATCAGGCGTTAAAACAAAAGCCTCAGAATTTTCTCTCAGATCACATGCTGCACCGGGGCTGTTATAAGCTCTGTAAATTCAGATGTTTTTAAGATTTATAATCTTGATGTGAAATATGTTTCGATTCTGCATACGTTTAGCGATGTAAGAATAAGATAATTGTGTTGGTTTGGTACTGTCACGGAGGCCACTCTGAAGACTGCGATCTTCCAGTTGGAATGCCTTGTAGAATGAGTGGGCCCCAAGTTTCTGCGTAGCATATCTCTTCCATCTTCACGGTTGATGAGTGTTCAGCTAGCCGCTTGCTTCTCATGCTTCCTGGCTTAGCTTACTATTCGATCTTGAAGATAGAGGCAATGTGTTCCTCTAAATTTGAACTCTCTTACGGCGTTGAAATTGTGAAGACCATATTTCTGAAGTTTAATCATTGGCACACACACTCTTACATATGGTTGTAACATAATAACCTTTGCATAAAAGCACGCGTGTTACAGTCACGTGTCAATCAGTAAAGCCTGCAGGATCTAAAAAAAATAACAACCTCCTTGTAGTTCCTGCAGTCTGAATTTCTGCGCACCTCCCGTAAAACTCGAAGCATGATTGACAGGAAGTTTCTTTNTTACAGTCACGTGTCAATCAGTAAAGCCTGCAGGATCTAAAAAAAACAACCTCCTTGTAGTTCCTGCAGTCTGAATTTCTGTGCACCTCCCGTAAAACTCGAAGCATGATTGACAGGAAGTTTCTTCGTCTTCATCATTAAGCCACGTACAGAAATGTAGTGTACATGATTTTGGAGAATAACTTTGTAATTATGTTGCATTTTGGAGGTTATTTCATGATACTAACTGTAGCTAGAACATATAACAGTGAATTCTGGGAAAACTGATGAGAAATTAGCTGGAAAGAATATGGAATCGTTCCCACAAAACTCTGTCAATCGAACCGGCGTCCCGGTGAATTTCGAAACCAGCATCTGAAGAATACCAAGGAAAATTACATACACGTTTCTCTCTTCTCCCATGTGTGTCACGTGACCTACGTTTTCATTCCCCTTGATTTCATCATCCTAATAATATATGATGAACACTATGGATCATGGGAGTCCTCATCGTTGTTTCCTTCTCAGCTTATTTTTAATTATTTTTTGAAGTCCGTATCCTATTTGATTTCAAAGATTAAAATATTGGTTTCTTTATACACGAATAAGAAATGAAAAGGAAAATATATGTCACTACATGACGTTGTTTGTAGAACAGAAAAGAAGTGAATTACTTAAAAGTACCACACATCACAATACACGTAAGTAAGTAAGTAAGTAAGTAAGTAAGGCCATGAAGGCCCATAGGGTTGTGAGACGTTGGGAGTCCCACGTTATCTAGACAATCGGGTCAAAGTTGGCTGTAAAGTAGTCAGCCCTGCCGTGCCAGGCCGTGCTTCACTCCCCAGGAAAATTATTTATTTAATTCCCGGTACTCATTTCTGTTAGAGGCTGAGTGAACCCCAAGGCCATGACCTCATCTGTATTTGAACCCGCGACCTTCCGACTTGTAGCATAGTGCCTTAACCACTACACTACCGCGTGACCTTGCAGAATACAATATATGTTATTGTCACGAATAACAAGGGTTAGTATGTATAACGTTAAGTTTCGGCTGACGAAGAAAACACCACCGACTCACTGATAATGGAAAGAGATGGTTACCACAATACAAATATAGACAAGTCAATATGTGTTCAGAGCAGAAGCCCAGTTACTACTCAAGTCAAAGTCTAAAACTACGGGTACTTAAAATTTATCGGACATCTTCATTAAGTTATAACTAAAACTGTTTCTCTGTTTAATGAAGCAATATGCAAATTCCTAACTTTCGGCTGTCGATGTAGGACAGACAGCTTCACTTTCTGGACTCTTTTGCACCGGATAAGGTTCGAAAGGAAGCTGGACGGTCCCAGACTGGGTTTGTCTGCTGTGAAGAAAGCCTAAATTTCTCCCGCCAGGAAACGAACTTTCTTCATGCGTAGTTCTCGCCAGTTATACAAATATCGTGTTTTATTCAGAGAGATCTCTGAAGAACGGGAAGTGGTTTGAAGGACAAAATAATGAAGTTCTTCCGTTTCAAATAAGTTGTTTCATTTTAAACAGAGCAGCAGAATAACGCGGTTCTCGTTCACAAAATTACACAAAATGCTCTCTTCACATATTTCCTATCTCAATACTCTGACGTTTCCTGCATGACACGACACGCTACCTCACGTGACATGAAGCTACTAAGTATCGGCTGTCCTTACGTTTCTGCATGTCTAAACCGCATACACAGTTCGTTTATTTTGATGTGCACTACAATCGGTGCGTAAAGGGAACAAAAATGTCAAAGTAAAAGGGCTCTTCGTGAACGTACACAAGGATTAGATTTTAATACCTGAGTCCTTTAGAGCTCGCGTTTTTTGAGCTTGCCATTTTTCCTGGGTCTTCCAGAATCCCATAGTCCCAAGGCGATATTGAAAACCTGTTTCTGTAAACGGCATCTGTCCATTATTTCCACCTTTGTAACTAGTTCTTTAGATATAATTTTAAGGCTTATATCAGACCGGTCAGACCGCCTCTGTGGTCTAGTGGTCAGATAACCACGCAACACCCTCTATACGCTAAAGTTGTCACTAACTTCGCCTACAAGCGGCGGTCACTCGGTTGGTATAGTTCGTTTGCGGTGTCAGGATTATAACGGTCCTCTTTCTCGCCTCCTCCTCTCAGCTTCTTGTTCTTCTTGTTCTTCTCCTTTAAGTCACCTTTTCCACAGTCCTTCTCACCTACCTTCTTGTTTCTACTTAAGGTTATCTTCTTGTACTAAATTTTTATCTCAGGGTTCGTTATTTAAATTTCTCAGGGTTAGTTGGTTTCTAAAGTTGTTGGATTCGGTAGAGCTGGTTCTCTTATCTCAGAGCCTTATACGGGCCACACTCAAAGAAACAAAAAAAGGAACAGACAAAGCACATTCACATTCAGAGGTATTCTTATTCCAAATTTTTAGTCACCGTTTAACACTTTACATTTGAGTACTTGTTGAGACACTTCTGCAACTAAACCACTTTTCAGGTTTAAACTTATTATTATCAACCTTGTTTTGGTCTAAGTGGTTAACATTTAAAAATTACTTCGACAACTTTTACGTTTACCTACTGCGGAGCCCGGTGTGTTACTGCCTTCGACAACTGATTTCCACTCGGACCTTCAAGTCATTGTTTCCTCGGCGTCTCTGCCTTGTCACACCCTTAAATTTTAGTGATTGGTTATATTCGAAAAATAGGGGTATCTTAATTAGATATTCCTCCACTCCGTTTAAAGCTTACAAGGGTTTAAGGATTTTTGACTCCAACGTATTTCGGTCAGAATTTGACAAATGCGAAGCGTGGCGTGGGACCATAAACCCTTCACTCTTTTTAAGTTATGGCATGCACAAACTGCCAAGTATTGAATTCACAAAGAATTCTTTAGCTATTCTCTAATGTAACTTTCCTCTAATAAACTTTTGACGGGTGTCTTCCTGTTTCTGTTGTAAGCGTGGGAAGACGCTAACTCTTACATACAAGAATGGACCTATGTCTCACTACACTTGTTCATTGCATTTCATTTTGAACAATTAAGATTTCAAATTAATAAAGTTGATTGCATTCAAATACGTTGT